AAGTAAATATTAATCGTAGAATTCTAATATTCAAGTACCACGTGTTGTTCGAACTATTTTATGATGGGGATAGCATGGAGGGTAAGAAGTGGCACAGGGGTTGAACACGTGGCCACCAGAGCGAGGAATGTAATGAGAAAAAAGGCCTATCACGTGACCTTTTCCATCAGAGATGCATGCGACGTAAGAAGGTTCCGCCCGAGCTTTCCTTTAAAGGGGTTGGTTTCAATTAATTTTGAAAGGGTGCTTCAATTGAGGTGGTTAACCCTATTACTGTCGATCGCGTCTTTAATGAGCAATGTATATTCCATTCTCAGCGGTTATTCGGTTTGAAAACAGTTGATTATTCTGTACTCTCTTTTCTTTCTCTTGTGATTCGAGAATAATATAGTTCAAATAAATAATACAATAGTTCAATTAATTTCGGCGATATATTCCGAGATATCTTTTCTTTTAAGAATAACAATTTGTTAAAAGTGGATAAATAACTTCACTTCTAACAGAAATGTTTTCTCGTTTTCAGAAATAAGAGAAGAATATTGTTTGAAGTGTGAAAACTTACTTCAGGCGCTTTTGGTTTTTCATTAATCTTATAAAATTATTCTTTATTGTATCTTAAGAAACAAGTCTGCCGTTTGGTGACTATAATCATGTTTTGTTGTAGATACTTAAAATATTTCTGTTTTCTTTTAATGTATCTATATCTTCGTCCATATGACGATCGAGAAGACAGTACACACGTGAGAGAGAATACGTGGCTTGGGGATAAGCAACCTTCCACACATGAAGCAGAGCAGTAGAAAGCGCGAAGAGGATTCTCTTCTCGCTTTCATTGCAAGCCACATGATATGCGAGTCATGGGGTGAAGAGAGGGTAGAGGGTTGCTGCATCGTACGTGCAGAAAAGATCGAATTTCCTAAGCTTGCGCGAATTTCTAATGACAAAGGTAGCAGGATGAATGTCATCAGACTAGAATCTAACATACGTATGGAAAACTTCGTGGCAAAATATATTTTTTATGTAAATGCATTTTATAGATGTGTTATTTAATATTATTGTTAAATCATTGTTTATTAGATTGATATTAAATTATGCGAGGATATCTAAAACCGCGTATAAAATAATCTCTCTGTAATTAGTAATTATTAATCCACCATTTTTTTTCTCAATATCATTACTCTATTGGTAACAATTGTATCTGTTTACATAAATAAACCCGAAGCTGTCACTTCATATATATGAATATACGCATTGCAATAAATTAAAAAATATTAAAACGAGGATATTATTAATATATGTTTCTTACTCGAAGCAGCACTCCTGCATCATAATTATCTAAAATATTATTTATTTTAGCACAAATAAATATTTCTAATAATTAAACAAAGTATTGGTATTCCGTGTCGACCGTCTGAATTAATTATAATTAAATAACATCGCCGTATTTCGAAAGTAATTAGTTGGCAACAATTATTAGTTGGAATTGACTAGTATTGTTTAGGACATTCCGCAAAAACGATTCAATCGAATCTATTCGCGTCATTAACTTTTATTAGCAGGAAAGGATCACCACAGATTTTAAAGGGTTTCAAATAATTTAGGAAGCTATCAAGGCAGCAATGTTGGTCAGGAGTTCCGCTCATGCGACATCGCTAAACAGGCAATTGGGGTGCGGTGACAGACTCAAAGGGTTAATGTAACAAAGGCTTATATTCCATGAGATCAAAGTTCCCGTAATGCCTAACCCACAAAATTCCACACATTTGACATACAATTTCCTTATAGCAATTCTCGACTTTTGACATTTAAAGCTATAATCTGCACTTTCTCGAAGGAATTGTAACCGATTAATTTTTTAATATAAATCCAATTAAAAAAAATGTTCATAATTATAAGATACTTTCACGCACTTAAGAATTAAGGAAAACCTCATATTTTTATCTTTCTAATTCAATATCCCAATCTGTGTTCTTTATCTACATTACGTTTCTTTAATAGCAAAACAAATAAACAAATAGGTGGAACAACTTATGTTCAGATAACATGATTTGAAAAATTAAAATATAATAATATAAAATAATAAGAACAGAAACTTGAATTTTATCTGACATATATTTTCGTAGTTTTAGTCGTATGAAAATTATTCATTCGAACAGTCTCGACGTTAGTCGATTGCACTACTTATCGAGTTAAAAGCAGAAGATTTGATGAGTATTCGTTAAATATTAAACATATGTGCATATTTGCGAATTCTGCAATGTGCAAACGATGCCCGTGGGAAAAGCTCGTACACTTATGAAAATGCATCGTGCATTAGTCGACGATAAATTTGCCTGGGTCAGGAAAATGAGTGCAACGTAGCCTATTACGCATAATGCTGCCTCGTAATTAATATCTGTGCAGAAATACACGAATAGATGTATGAACTATCTGATTATATGGCGAAATAAATCTAGTTATCTGACGTAGCTGAATGAAAAAATATGGCGCTCAATGGAGCTGCGTAAAATCTTAATTTGATATACACAGATATGACAAAATATCATTTTAAATATAATTGCTTTATATGGTAAATAAGAAAACGTAATTTCAAACAAATCGTAGAATTACTAAATAATTATTGATATTAAAACCTTAAAAGAGAATGCTTAGTAGAAAAAATTATAAATTTATAACAAACAGAATATTGTATTAATCTGCAGTTGTTAAATTATATTAAGTAAACCGACAGTTTATTTATATGTGTGTAAACAATTTGAGTAATATAACTAAGTGAGGCACTTAAATATATTAACGCGGGCACACTACAGTATGAACAAATGCTATTCCTAGTAAACATGATATATGGGCGACATTACAAAATTAATTGCATACAGAAAGTAGAAATCCCGCTTTGCCGTTTGCTAATTAAATACGTGGCGTTTACCGTAGAAATTCTTTTCTGTTTGTACATATCTCTTTAAATTAATTAATTAATTTGCTCGTCGGCGTTTATTTCAATTTTTGACAGAGAAACGTGCAATTAATATTCCAACGTTTCATGCGCAGGTTGAAAACAAAATATGTCCATAGATACTAGCTGCAATGTATGTGTATATATAAATACATTTCAAAGAAACATATATACGTAAAACTCTCCTATCTTGTAATCATCTTTCATTCAATATAATTACGTAAAATTTCAATCAAAATAATGTAGATTAATTAATCTTAATGTAGACAGTTTAATATAAGGATTCTTGGTCTTAGAGATCTATTCGCTTAATTCATTGACCAATTCATCTAATTTCTCTCAAAGGATAATGGCCGCACAGGTATTAGCAGGATTAATATGAGCTCAGATCTCTTGTTAGATAAGCGAAAGCGTTTTTTAAAGGTCAAGTTATCAGGACAACATGTTATGGATGGAAATTTCAAAGCCTGTAAGAGAGTAAATAAACTTAGCTTGTGTTCGATAAAACTTCGATCACTTGGTCGAGCATCAGGATTTCATCTTGTCAACGGAACGAAAAGTATACTATCATATGTGCGTCAGGATACATTCTTAACAATTTTAAAAATATCAGATTTGTAACTAATAATTATAAAATTGTAAGATAATTATAAAAAACTGATAATGGTAATAAGATCTTTATAAACGCGAATAAAAAAAATATGAAAACTAATTATTTCAAGCAAATCATAAGTTTAGAACAAGAGATAGATTTTCTAAGATTTTCTAACATATATGATTTGATTTAATAATTTAATACGTATGAAAAAAATTATTATGTAATTGATAAGTATCTTCTATACAAGTATAATAAAATGGATCGTTAAGAAAAAAAAATATTAGAAAAAATATTATATTGAGAGAGAGAGAGAAGAATATTATAAAATATCTGATCTTAATTTGATATTTATTTTCCGTGTGACTTTTATGTTAAAAGCATTTTTTAAAATTTGCTTCTCATGATTTTGCTGTTGTATGCTTATATTCAGTCAATCGATCCATTAATTATAGAAGGCTCGTAATTATTATATTTACAATAAAATTACTAAAATAGATAAATGTCCTACAAGAATAATCTCTCAATCAATATCTTAATTTATGAAGTAAGGCATATTTGCAGATATAACGCAAATATAAACATAAATATAAGCAGATGTATGCAAATATAATTGTTTCAACAAATTATCTATTTTTTAATTTCAGCGATGCTAAACAAAAGACAGCGGATTTAAATATCTCAAACAAACTTGTACATTTACTCGTATCAATGAAAAATACTGCGAGCGCCAAGGAGAGCTAAGTGCAAATCTCTATAAATTTTCGAATCAACAATACATCCGAGTGCAATTGTGGAGGGAGGAGCGTTTCCGGATAATCGCCTGATAATTTTTAGTTAATCGATAAATCACTCCTAACACGAGCAAAACGCCTTTTCGTGGGAGAGGTAAGCGGTCTTTGCATTCGTGAAAAGGACGAGACAATGGCCGGGTCTCGTGAATGGCTGATCAAGGCCATTTCCCATGGTTAGAACGGGTCAATGTCCCGGTTCCACGATGCTCTTAAAAGAGCACATGGGACCCCTTCGTCTTCAGTTTCCCGGCAGTTCTCGTGCTGTCTGGATCGTCTCGTATTTAATGCACGTATGCGCGATATTTATTTAAACTTAAACGCGGTCCCTGCACTCTAAATGTTATGCTTCATGTGATTTATTGTAATTTGATCTATTATATCATAATTAACAAATGTATGATAATTGCGGAGATGATCGTCGCGCTTTTTCCACCTTGCTGTTTATTTATGAATCGAGAAAGTTTGTGGAGTTTTCTTTTTGACATATGTGATGCTAACTTATTAATATTTCAAACTGTATTTGATATCTGACAATACTTTATATTATAATTTTTTTATCACACACCTGACATAAGCTTGACAAGACGATCGATCGGCGATAGCTTATCACGCGTCGCAATATTGTTCCCTGAATATACATTATGCAAAAATTACTTACCCGATGGATGATTAGATTGCAAATTGTAGTCATCGACTTGTAATGTGCTGTTCGGCCCAGTTCTGGTAAATCTAACCACGTGATATTGGTTGTCGTTAACTTTCACGCCAACTTCGCCTATTGGATGATCGTTGGTACCCATATTATAAACCGCGAAAACGTTACCTTCCACCTGTGAAACGAATAAATTATTCATTTCTGTTACATTGAAATTTGATTTTTTATTCGTGCCAATTACATTAAATCATTAGAATAGAAATTTACAAAATTAAATAAATTGATCGATTAAAAAGAACGTTTAATATGCTAATTCATATTGTATAAATCTAATAATTATGCATTTCAAAAAATCTATTTAACTAATACTATTATTTATATATGTACATACTAAATCAGAGATTCCCAAAGGATAGGTCGTGACTCGAGGGATCGCAAAAAGTTTTACACTATTAAATTATACTTCATCACTTTGCGTAGCTGTACAAACTTGCTTACGTGCATGTTTTTTCATACATACGTAAAGCTAAATTTTCAATGATGGTAGAAATTAAAACGAAATTTCAAAATAAATTTTAATTATCAAACTTCTTGCGTCTAAAAATAACTCGCATCGATGTCAACTTCAAAAAAACATTCTGTGTTCAGAACAGAAATAGGAAACAAGGGCATTCTTATCACATCCGTCATTATAGTATTAACTTATCTCGTTATCTGAGAAATATATAATATTTATAAAATTGCATCCAATAAAAAATAAAAAAAGTAGGAATATACATTAAATAAAATACATAAATAAAATGGTATAAATTAATTAACTTATTCATCTTCTGTTTTTTTCATAAAGCCAGGTAATTGCGAATGTTCGTTTTAAAAAGTAGGTCGCGATCTATACAAGTTTGAGAAGCTCTGTACTAAATTATATAATCTATATACACATTGTATATATGTGCATTATATAATGCTTAATAATACTGTATAATGTGTAAATTCAATTTTATTATATACTAACAATTTCGATTTCGAGATAATCGTTACTCGACGCAGATTCTATTCTAAGCAATACAGCATCATTAACACTGGTAACGAAACCCAAGGCCACAGTATCTCTTTTCATTTCCGGTCGACGATCAGGCGGAAAGGTATACGTGATAATTCCTCTTCCGGCTCCAAATTCGTAAGCGATAGCCTCTGCGAAGTGAAACATATCGTTAAAGTGATGTTTCATCTGTTATATATTAAGTGCTGAGATTATTTTCGCTTCGTTATAATTATCATCCTATCATATAGTAATTTAATTTTCGTCCTAAAGTGTATTTTTAAAAATGTCCTATTTATCAAGTTTCATCAATAACCGATTAATTATGGAAAATATTTACCTCTCGGCGAAAGAAATCGGTTCTAGCCAAACTATGAACTAATTTTACATCCCTTTAATATTATTAGATTGTAGAATAATCAAATAATCAAACTTTAGTAATTTTATAGATAATATGTGTGTGTGTGTGTGTGTGTTATTATTATAATAATGTAGTACACGCATAGAGTGATATTGATAGATAGCATATTCAATAAAATATTAATTATTAATTAATTAGCGATTTTGTATGTAAAAGGAACAGCGTGGACGAATAATCTTTTTTTTCCTCTCTTTTTCCCTTTTTCAAAACAAATGCGAATACAAGCGTCTCTATATGTTTCTCTTTTCTCTATTCCTTTACCATCGTTACAAGTTGGCCCGGTAAAACTCGTCATGTCACAATCGCATGTGTAGCTATTCCACTGTTGCACGCATGTTCCATGATTGGCACAGAGATCATGAGTGCACTTCTTGCCCGGATGTATGTTGGTGTAAATGTCGCATCCGGATGTGACGAGAGAACTCGGCACGACGGCATCGGTAATGAGGTCGGTACTTTCCCCGCTGAGATCCAACGACGCCAGACATCCCTCAAATCCGTGACGGCTGAGAATCTGTTTTGGTAATTGGCCATATTGCGCCTTCTCCACTCCACCTGAAATAAACGAAACGTTAAATCTCTCTTACGTAACTTGTTTGACTTTTTAAAAAACAAATCCTCTCTCTCTTTTTTTTCCTTTATTAATTCAGCTGGTCTGTTCAAATTTACTAAACGATCTCATATCGGTTCGTTTTATATATGATTAAAAAACCCTAAAAAATATAAAAAATTCACAGAAAAAATCTTATATTAACAGACGAAGTCATAAAATATCAGAGGAAAAAATTTGTTAAATAAAATATTAATATAAGAAAATTAATTACTCTTTAGTCAAACAAATAGATCAACAGAGTTAAATATATCAGTATATGTGCTGTTGTGATTGACGGTTACTTTGATTTGACATTTTTTAAAGTAGTATCATCCTTTAATCATTAAATCACCATAAAACGGATATTCAAAATGTTTACACATTCGTTTGCATTGTGAGTCGCGACATAAAGCTTGTCGCAAGATGAAATTGCCAAAACGCAGACAGGATGTCGCGCTTGACATAAAATATCGAAACCGAAATTCGATAGTTAAATCAAAATCATCTCTCTCGCAAACTCTCGCAGCCTTGCGATATCCGCAGGCCTCTCGGCAATCGCGGATATCGCGGGTGTTCGACGAACCGAGACGACCACACGTCCGGTCGATCTCGCCGCCATAAATCCTGCGGGATCGCAGCTAGTCGAAAATTATTTCGACGGTCACACATTATACTCCGTATGACCGCGTGTGCAGTTCGAAACGCAACCGCCTGGCCAATCAGCTTGTATGCAGTGTGAAAGTCTCTCATCCAAAATGCTATATATATATATGTGTATTAAAGAGGGATTTTACGGATAAAACGAAATGCAGTATCGCAGCATCCTTTTTCTCTCTATTATAATATGTAAAAATACAATAAATTTTAAACAATGAATCTGAATAATAAATTAACTAAATAATATAATAAGATAAAGAGACAAAAATGAGCAAGAAGTAATGAAGATTTGAATAGAAACATGTCAATTTGATGTGTAGTGAGACAAATTTCAATTGAACAAAGTCTTCACCATTGTAATTATGTAGACTTAAATTTTTAACTGATTATCGCATCATATGAAGCTATTAGAGATATCTTGATGCAATATAATCTTGTTTGATAATTAAATTCAATCAGAGTGAAATTTTGGCCGAATTTTTTGCATTGAACTGATCTCGCGACACGCGATCGCGGTTTGGCAATCACTATTGAAGAATAATTGATGACTGATTTGCCAATTTATGTCAGCCCGACGGTGATCGATAGATTTATTAATGAATTAAGCAACAAGAACGGTATGATATGGATCTAATTAATGGTGATTCATAGCGCGCTATGCTGATACCGTAACTGAATTTCGGATCATTAGTCCAGACATATAGAGATCTATCCTATCTATGCTATGAATTAGAAATGCAAAAATATCTGCATCATAAATGCTTCTTTGTCAGTCGAAATCGTTCATATAAAATCATAATTTATTGATGCTTTGAAAAAATCAAACTATATTATCTATCGTCAAGAAATCGTAAGCTTTTTCGTAACCCGACATTGTTTCTCATAAATATCGCAGGAAACAGAATGAGATATCCAAATCAGTGATGCACAACCTGCGGCCCACTTGTGAATTTTTTGCGCGGATTCATCTAAATAATAAAATAATTCCATAGATATTTATTATGAAGATAAAATCGACTTCTTCACATAGATTACCTACATTATTTATTATTCGAAAAGTTATTATGCACTTATACAACGCGATAATAATCATCGCGTGACATTTCTCTCCTTTTCCTTCAAATTAACTGTGTAATTGCATCAGAAGAGCAAAAAAATTCAAATGATAAATAATTCCTACATCATATCATATGAAATGACAATGAAAATCTAAACGATCGAAATGACACGCTATTATTAATGTTACACAGAAATTGCATCATGATCAAATTACCTCAAATTATATTTCTCTAAATAATTCATAAAATAATCGATTAGCTTTTTTTATTGATGCTCAAAAATTTACGATGAAATGGCAATTATACAGTCAAAGCAAGCACTAAAGACAACAACTCAGTAATTTACGAATTTGCACCGATAATCGACATCTTAAAATAAATAGAGATAAGTTATCGATACGATCAGTCGGCAATACATGTTATAGTGACGGGGGCGGGGGTATGAAGAAAATTATTAAAAAAAATAAAATTTTTAGCGTTTCCTTATAAGAATTTAATACTGGAAAATAATGATTAATTACTTATTTTGAATATTAAAAACACTATTGTTTAGTTTTTAATACTCGAAATAAATAATTTTTAATATTAAATTGGATTTTCGTAAGGCTTTAAGTACGTAAGTATATTGAACCAAAAAAGGTTCCAATCATCATTTACATTTCTACAACATATGTATGTAAGGTAAAGATTATCGAAAGCATGCCCATTGTAAATAATTATCCAGAATAAGGTTACCTTATCAAATATGGAACGATTGCATGAAATGGCATGAATGTATTCGTAATATTCTGGAGCTCGTAATGCAGTTTGTATTGTAAGAAAATAAAAACAATGTTAAAACAATATAATTTTACAAATATTTGTTATTTTCCACTTCCTTCCGGTAATTTCAATTATAATTTATTAGTACATTAATATATCTTTTAATATAGTATATTAAATTTTTTTCCCTATTAAAATGATTAATTCTAAGTAAAGTTGAAGTTGTCCGAGTTTCTCGAAAACAAAATCTTATGTAAAAGCTCCATCCTGCATTTTTCACTTTTTTCATATTTACTTCTTTATGCACTCTTTATATAATTATAGCTTTTTTAATTAAAAGGCCAGCCTGTATAAAAAAGACTAAAAAAATATAAAAGCAAATTAAAAAAAAAATTATTATATTAATCAAAAGGTTAATTCGATCCAAGCATGCTTTTCATGTTTTTACGAATAAGACTAGCGTGGCCGCGCTCTTATCAGCCAGCTGTATCGTTTTCAGGTATGACATATTCGGCGAGCTATAATTAAATCGTATTAATCATAATAACCGGTAAATCGCTCAATCACAAATTTCATCTTACATTGCGGTTGTGCTGCGGTCGAATGCCGGAAGTGCGGCTCTCTGAGTTAGTTAGAATCACGGGGCTGATCATTTTTATGCTTCAAGCAGTTGTCTATGTATCATCATCGAAAGTACACGAATTCATAAAGCGCTTGAACCGTTAATTGAGCTTGTCGGCGTCAAGCTAAAAAAGCCAGACGTCATCGCGAGAACCGGCGGAAATTACTTTGACGCGCTTTGACGCGTGATAAGAAGATAATAGTGGTGTTGTCATTCTCTCGAATCAGTATAATTCAGTATAAATCTCGAACTCGCTAATCACGTTGCCATAGTCGCTCCAGCACGTCACGAGATATATCAAATCGACGCGAAAATTCAATAACTTTTATTTCATAAGTTATCGGTCGTTATGTCTCTTCGCGAACTCGCCATTCGCGTTCTGCTAATCTCGATTGTTCGTTTCTCAACGACGTCGATCATCCGGCCGCAAAGATTGTACATCGTACGAGTTTCGCCGGAATCAGCGAGGAGCCTGGAACATATTCCGGACAAATGGAGGACAGTGCATCTGAAGTTCAAAGCCCCACAAATCGAGATTCAATTGATGAAGGGTTACGTCTCGTCGGACGAAAATTGGATGTTTGCTACTGAATACAAATATTCGGGCAAAGATTATAAGTACGTATGTAAACGTGATAAAAAGTATATTCAAAGACATGCTCGTTCAGGTCGGGATGAATTAGCTTTTAGATTAGCGTCTTTTATACGAACGATGAAATAATTATGATGTTCTCTCAGAGTTTATTATACATGAAAAGAACAATTTTGTTACACGGAAAGAACGATTTTGTTGAAATTCAACTAGATTTGAAAATAATTTTATTGAACCATCAAAATAATTTTATAGATCGCTTAAGCTTGATGACAACGTTGCAAAAAGTTTTAACAATTCAGCAATCAGCTTGAGTGTTTTACATCGTTATTTTGACGGTCAAACAAAATTATTTTCAGATCTGTTATTAACAGTTTATATAATTTCAGTCCGAATAAAATTTCAGACCTTCCTGCCTCTTTCCAAATTCACAAACAAACTTTTCGAGACCATTTACCGATCAATTCATCCAATAATTGATACGACAGGATGGATAAAGAAAAAAATTTTTTATTAAAGCTTCAATTCATATTTAATTTTTACTCTACATTTAAATTATAAAAAAAGGGAAACCTCGAACGTGGCGATAGACGGAAGCAGAAATCAACGTAGAAAGTTAAAAGAATTCAAAATGATTATATGAGATGTGTGTGCATTATATATTTGTATTTATAATCAAAAAAGTAGAGTGAGAAAAAAATATTAGTTGACAAATTGCGTATTACATCTATATCTAGCTAAATTTTTAAATACTTGATTAAAACTGTTTCTTTTATGTAGACTTTTCGAAAAAGTGCATCATATCTGATATACAGGATAAGTCGCAATCTGAATGAGACATGTAAAGCATTTTTGGATTGTTTAACATATTCAGATCTATGTCTGATGATTCAATATCTTCAAGGGTCTGATATATAAGAAAAATTAAAACAAATGATCAAAAAATAAATAAGTTATAGAATATAAAATTAAACAATAAAGATATAATTCCAAATGTGTGTATTACTTAATGCCTCTGAGACGTGACATGTTCGATCCGAAAATGCAATAAAGCCAAAACTGAAAGACATTAACGATGTACATCCAAACGTTGTTAATGCTATAATAATATCGTTAATACGAATAATCTTACACGATCGTAAATCGATTAGTGGCGCGACAAGGATGACATCGACGACAAATGAGAAGAAAATCCCGCGAATTGAAAACGGTGATATGGAAGCGGAAGAAAAGGAGAAAGAGAATAATATTCAGGATAATATCGTGATGCCTGATAGATTTATCCCACAGATTGAATCAAGGAATATTATTACAATACCTACATACTGTCCGGAAGGGCAACGAAAAGATAGTAGAGGACGTTGTAGAATTGTCATGTGAGTTACCTCTTTCTTTTTAGGATAATCCTTAATTACAAAAAATTTAACAACCTTCTCGACAAAAAATATATATAATTGAAATATCTAATATTTGAATGGATCATTCTAGAGATTTCTCAATTTTGATTTTAACGATGAACGAATTAGAATTTTACAACCATAGAAAAAACTAAAGCAAATTTTCTTGTCTTGACACTAAATATTTTGAAAAAATATTGTTTTATTAAATTGTATGAATGTTCTGGATTGTATGAATGTTATCGGATTATTTTCTAAAAGTTAAGTTTGTCACATATAATGTCTCTAATATTAAAATTGTTAACATTTAATATTTTGTTTAAGAAGAAATTAACTGTAAATTGATTAATTGTAATATTAATATTATGGTTGAAAATTTTTAATTACTTTGTATGATATTAATTAAATTTCTATTAATTTGTGGGTTATAATCATCGAATTCCTAATACACCTTCAGTACATATTTATACAGGAGTTTAATAATCGATTTTATACTTTCTGTTATAGAATGTAAAAAAAGTAGAGAGACAGAGAGATGGAAGACAAATAAGGAAACAATTAAATAATTGAAGTTCTCCAGATATTTATTGTGAAATATCGAGGGCATGCAAATTACTTTAAATTAAGATAATGTGCAATTTGCTTTAAATTAATAAAGTACTATATTAAATTTGTAATCGATATGACGATCTTATATTTGGCATATTAGTTATAAAAATAAGTTTCATATAAATTGTCAAGTTAAAAACAAATTCTAATACACGTAATAAACAACACATTCGAATATGATTATATCTAAATGAAATTTATCTAAATTGAAACGACAATCTTATATTTGATATAATAATTATAAATTGTCAAATTAAAAACAGATTTATTTATACATAAATTGTCAAATTAAAAATAGATTCTGAGATACAAGTAATAATTTAGTATGCAATATCTAACTTTTAATTTATGATATAAATTCTAGATATAGCTAGACTGTCGATATTTTTGAAACTTATAAATTATTATGTTTTCAAAACGCGAGAACTAAATCATAAAGATATTTTTATATGTGTATAAATATTTTTGCTCAATAATAAAACAAGAAAGAAATAATTTAAGCATTCTTAGAGATAAGATTAAAGAATTTAAGAATAATATATTTGTCGGTATAGTCTCATCACTAAACAGGTTTTATGACAAACGTGGTAAGCTAAATGAGAGGAATGTGGTTATAATATAATTCATTAAACTAATTAAGAAACCAATACATAAATGACATATTTAACTTATACAATAAACGGATTGCAAATGTAAATCACGACTGACTAATTAAATTAAATTAATATCGCGTACACGCTGTTATTTTATTGTAGTAATATCTCTCGAATGAAATTGTCGAATAGAATCCTGATTAATTGTATTGCCGCGCGTTACATAACGGGTGGATTAAATAAAGGAAACGCGGCATTCAGATTATCATAAACATTATATAAAATGAAACGTTATATAACAAAATAAATTAATATTAAAAAATATTTTTTAGAAAATTTTTAGAATTATCCAGATTATATTAAGCTTTCAATTATTAACGACCAATTATACTTTTTGTGCAACGTTTATTGTTAAATTAATTTAGTATTGTTAATAAAAATCCTTTCTTTGTAGCAAAATAAATTTAAATCGTATAATTGAGTTATATATTATATATTATTTCTCCCTTCTCCACTTACCTATATACAAAATGCCATCGAGATCAAGATTCTCGTTGCTGCCTTGGCTGTTGACAGCGGTCACGTGATCGTCTACAGACAGAGTGTGCCTCTTTGCGGCAGGTCTGCCAATACTGACGGCGTGCCATTTGCCATCGTTCAACTTGGACTTCGAAGTGTCTCTGACTCTGACAGCTCCGTCGCCTAGGTCAAACACGTAGTGTACGTGTCCGTTTACCAGTTCGACCGCAATGAAATCATGCTCTCTTCCGGCGTTATAAAGGATCAAGCCGTTCGCTTCTCGCGTTTTAAACTGAAAAGTAATTTACAAGTGTAAGGCGATGAGTTCTCTCTTTTTCTCTCTCTGCAGATTGATTGAATTATATTCTTTTTACGATTGATGATAAAATCTTTGTGATAAAATGGACCGTGGTTCTTTATTTACCAAAAGCTCGCCATAATATCCACGACGTGCAAAAAATAGTAAAATACCAATTTTCACCTGGAAATAAATGTTGGTCTCCAAGTACGCTTTGAGTACTGGAAGTCCTACGAAAGTGTGCTTGGAGGTGAAGGTCACCGGATGATGAACCGGATGATTTCTTTTCCCGAACTTGCCGGTGACCCGGATGATAGGCGCGACGCCCTGATGTGAGGTTTGATGGCTCCCAGCGCTGCGCGCAATCTCCAGGTATGGATATCCGTTGAACCAGATCTGCTGCAGCTGGCCCACGAAATGCGGTATGTCCTCGCCCGCGTGAAGATATCCGCCTACGTGGAGTGTTCGAAATTCCAAGATGCCCTGCTTTCCCAGCTGCGCTTCCGCTACATTTGCATACAAACAGCCATTCATCATTAAATTGAAAAGCATTGAAACGTGAACCAAGTTTAAATAGAAAATAGTAAAATTTGGAAAATATTTACGACCTTATTGCTTATCTTCGTCTTCAATGAAAATAATTTAATGTTAAAAACTATATCAATTAATAATACAAAAATTATACGTGCATCATATCAAACTTAATTCTTTCATTACTGCGCTTCGAAATATTAAATCAAATGAGAAACACGTTATATATTATATTATATTTAATTTATATAATTTTTATTTTAGATTTTTTTTATTTGATGTACAGGGTGACAAAACATTTGGCTAGAAAGTTTTATGTGTGCATCAAATTATTTAGCTAACAAATTGACGTTATTTGTCGTCATTTTGATTGAGTTTTATAGTAACGTAAATTTAAAGAAACAAACTCTGGAATGTTAATTACATCTTATTAAATACTAAAAAGACTCCAAATATTGATGCAAAAGAATTAAAAGATTTTCATCCTTTTGGTGACCTAAAGACCTCTTTATTGGTTGCCTGAGAGAATATATTCATAAAAAAATGCACGGCTATCATTGATGCGGTCCTAAAGCGCTTTAAAGTTTGTATCAAAGCTAAAAAGATGGACATTTTGAATGTTAATTATTATCTTCGGTATTTAATATGATATAACTAACATTATAGAGTTTGTTTTTTCGCAAATATACGTTACTAATGATTTGATAAACACACACCTTTGTAGCCAAACTTTTTTGTGTCATCCCATAGTATATTTTACTTAGAGTATCTGTATACTCGAGTGTGTTTGCGCAATTGTGTACGTCAGTGTCTAGTGAAAAGATGGATGAAGAAGAGATTTGATCACTGGCCGAAATTTTCAAAGGTTCGTGAATGCACGAAACTTTAGCACTTAAACTGAACTATTGAACAACGCCGAGCTAAGACGGAGAACCGCATGTGTTTCGCTGTGCAGCAATTATCGTACCAGCGCGATCGATTGCGCTGAAGTAAAGGCCGTGCAGAGCTGCAATTTAGGCTATTGCCACCTAACCCAATATTGCCGGCACTCGCCGTCAGTTTAATAGGGTGATCCGAGGGACAGCTTTGCGAGGGTGGCTGTTTCACGGCGGCCACTGCGGCGAGGTTGTTTTGCAGGGGCCGATTGGGGCCAGACTGATTGGTAAACCAATCACGTGTGGTTCATATTATCGATATTAATAAGATACGACCGAGATATGCTCGATTGCATCAGCGTCCCGTTCCTATGGAAATGCCGCTAATTGCTTTGATTATCTTATATTATTTTCACATAAATACATACGTAATGTGAAAATTACACATGTATTTGCATTACGTGATATTTGCAACAGAGTCACTGGTTGTGATCCTCCAAACTGCATATAGTCTTCACGTCAATTTAAGCACGACGGTCTTAAATGGCCCGCTAACATGACAGTCGCAATATTGGCAGAGACATTATAACGACGTCGTCAAACGGATATGATATCGGTATTAAAAATGTCGATTATCGGGAGAGGATCGTATTAAGATCTCCGATATAAGATCTCGATATTGTTTGCTCATCCGTAGCGTGTCTCTCGTTCCGCTAACCGCAGAATTTGCGCACGACGAGAGAATCCTGAATTTCTGCGAAGTGGTTTACCGTTGATGGAATCGCGCGGGGATATAATTTACTTTATACTTGAAGCGTCGCTTTTGCGACGGAGTGCCACGAATGCCCCGGCAGACATCGACCTCCTCCCTCGATATCACCGATTCCGGATGCACTTTTCTCGTTGCGCAGCCGGCGGCGGCGTGAAGAGCATTTCAAGGAGTCGGTACGATAAAAAGCGCATTTGCATGCCCACGATTTGTAATCCGTCCGCTGGATGTCGGAAAATCGATGGCACTGACTCCTATCTACCGCTCGTAAATAATACGGTCGGCGAATCGGCGTAAACAGAGAAAAATGGACGTTCTCGTGCACGGCCGCGAGCAGAGAGAATTCTTTGCCTTGGAGAAGAAAACGCGTGCTTTTTTTTATCGATCATACACTAAGAAAAATTTCTAGTTGAAAATGGACGAATCAGAATTATCTGGTTAAATCTATTATAAAATTCTAGATAACTGGATATTCAATTATGATGACCAGAATTCTGATTGATATAATCAGAATCTTATTGGTTCATTTTCAACAAATTTTTCTTTCAACAAGTGTATAAGCGTATAAGTTTGCTCGCACAAAATAAATTCGAAAACGTAGAAATAGAATAAAACTTTTTTACACAAAACTTCACTTTCGTGGTTCATTATAAAAATATCAAGTTTAAGAGGTATTATATTTTCTAGGAGATTCTAAGAAGTCTCCTTCGCTCATAAAATGTCTTTTCATCCCTCTACCTTAAAATAAATCTGCTCTATATCTTATTCATTGTACTTTATCGCTCGATTGCCCCTGAGCTCCATATGGCTCGCTTATATGGTTGATACATTTTTCAGTCTCGCCACACTAAAAATATTTTTGTCATTTACAAACGAAATTTTCGTGCACTAATATATTTCTCACGTCTGACACATCGACCGAGTACAATAACGATCGCAGCCTTGGAAAAATCTTTGATTAGCATTCATAAGAGTGTCTCGATTCGAAGAGTCGCCGACAGAATGCAAAAGCGGACGCAATGCGCGATGCATTTTGAATTTGTGATTGCAAGAGAGTTGAGAGCACCCGCGGGAAACTTATAATTTAACCGATAGAGGAAGTGCAATCGGAAAAGGTGAAGTTTTAAGCTCTACCAAAATTAAAGACATGATATAAAAAAGGATTATAAACAGTTTTAAAATTGTTTCTTGAAATTGATTAAGCATACAAAGGAGTAATTACTCATTAACTCGTAATTATTTGTATTATATTAATTACGTACTCTTATTTGCATACGCGGGAGACTGTATAATTAATTATTTATTATAATTACACACATTAATTCGTTCAGAATGATTGTGCAATGAAATTATAAAATCTACATATAAATGTCGCGCAACATAAAAATGTAATGTCGGTGCTTTTCTTTGGTAGATACGCGCTAAGCGTAAATAATTTTTATTATTAAATTATTTATTAGTTTTTTATATATGTCATTCAACATTAAAATATTCAAGATGTACTATAATTGTAAGTAAGTATTCATAATTATTGAATAACTTAATAATCAACGTTAAATTTTTATAAACACAAACAAGTAAATTGTTTAAAAAGAAGCGTATAGATTTTATTTAAAAAAGTATAAATATATGTAAGATTTATAGGTAAGTAAAAATACAAAATGTATACTTAACAAATCTGTGCATTAAATATTTTTCTCTCTCTTTCGTTTTGCTAGAATGACATCAATCTTTCTAAGTTTTGTAATATTGGCTATATCGACAAAGTCTAAAGTGTCAGATAGCTGTAACGTATGTTCCAAGTTCTTAGTTTCAGGAAACTACTATTTTGCAACAAACCAGTAGTTTCTAATACGCCATTTGTCCCATTTGCACAACTTACGCGAGTGCGATGAGAGAGGTCTCGAAACTTGCGTGAAAAATTGCTCAAGAAATTTTTAATTTCGTGCGCCTGCTCATCGATCTTACGAAACTTTCTCGGCGATTTTCATTAATTATTCAAATCCATGAAGCGGCCAAACTGACGCAATTATTCGTCTCGTAGCTTGATGAACTATTCGAAGATTCTATACATGTAAAAATTATTTTCAAAAATACTTACGAGACTTAAATTAATGTAATTAGAACTTGCATGCAAAAAAATGTCTGTGTGTGTGCTAATTTTAAACATAAAAAGTACGTAAAATTACTAGTCCAAAATGTTACATGATGATTTATTGTAAATTAATAAAACTAAAAACTTTTTCTTGATCGTTCAAAATTTCTTGCCTTTGAGGCAAATGAAGTACTGCTGTTATGGTATAATATTGAGAGCTACAAGAGAACTACTCTTTATAATAAAGAGGACTTCATGTTAATAATTTGTGCGAGTCTCTCTACATTTTCCCAAAACAAGCGAAAGATTTATAAAACTGTCACACTCAATGACTCATTCGATCATCGCCAACAGCGATAGCCGAAAACGACAGGACGATTTAACTCTGAAATGCTCGCCGTGCCAATTTCCCCGACTCGTCGGTCCGACAAATAACAACACTAATAACGGGCACGAGCTTGCGAGCGTGTGGTGGGCGATGATCGAGAGAAGGCGGAAAATTATTTTCCGCGCGATAGCGTCGTTTCTACGCGAGGCCACGGCCGCGTCGTACGGTCCTCGCATAAATCTTTGGTAGACCGAATGATCCCGCCGCGGTGAATCCACCGACTGATAAATCTCGATGTGGAAATTGATTATCGGACGGGAATTCTCCATGACGGCTCCACCCTCGCCTAGTGTACACCTGTATTTATACGCTCGGGGCAATTTGGTCGTACGATGCAGTTAATCCTACCCTCTTTCTCTCTCCGCGTTTCCTCCCCATCGTTATCCTCTCTCCTAGTACTTCATGCTTTTCCGTCGAGTATACAGACGTATACGCGTACTCGATTCCAGTCAAATATTTTTATTTTCTAATTTTGAGGACGCCGTAACTTTGTCATAAAATAATTAAGTTCGGCATTTGCGTCTATTGTTGTTTCCTTATTTTTTCATGCGCGAGCTTTTGGCTGTAATTTTTTATTTTTCTAAAAGAGAACCTGCTGCAGAGGTGACTAAAATATAAGAGAGTCTGCCAGACAGTCTGATAAGATTTTTGACGCCGTCATGTAAGAGAATTTTTTAAAGAATATTTTGAAGGCTGTAAAGGTGATACTAAAGATTAAAAATTGTTCCGAGCTATTGACAAATATTGAAGAAAATAATGGAAAGCAATACTGAAAAATCAAATATAATTTCTTATAAAAAAAATATTTGTGTTACTTTCTAACATAATGAGCTATTATTAATATAAAAATTTGTATGAACCATTCGGGGCACGTGAAATGTTAAATTTAACACGAATTTTCAACTGTGTATATCTCTTCCGAGTAATATATTGGAATTTATGTCAATAATTTTTCTTTCTTTTAATCCTCTTTTATAATATTGCCAATTAGACCTATTATCGCGATTAATCACACCTACGAGAACAACGTATTCTAAGATGTGTTAAACGCGATTCCTCCCACATATCTGTCGATTTTAGCTTTCATATTTCCATGTGTGTTTTCTTTATGCATTTCTTTGCGACTTTTTTCTGGCTTCGCGACTTCCGCCGCGGAGATTCCGCCACATATTTATGCTAAATAAGGATTTCGAAATACGATATTGCTCCCTTGCGTGGGTTCGCCTTGCGGCTGGAAGTTCGAACATGCGCATGCATATACGATGTATAAGGATCCTTCGAGCTGGTGCAATCGATGCGACGTGTAAAGTACCACCGCTTCGAAATGTCATGACAGGGAAACTCTCCTCCTTCGAAATTTGCAATGCGCCAAGATTTATCGCTAAGAAAAGAAATTACTCTGCGCCTCGTATAATAACCTTCTTTTGATATTTAACTTGCCATATTAATGTAAAATTGATTTATACAAGATTATTTTATGCTAAGTGCATTATCTTCATTGCACGTTTAATAATCAATTTTGAATTAACTTTTCTTTGATGGAGATAATTTTAATCTTTAAGTTATAAATGACTAAAAACGAGAAGTCTGTAATTCACAAGATAGGAAAGAGAGATTCATTTTCAACAAAAAAAAAGCTCTTTTTGTTGCTTATTAAGATTCAGTTTTAACTCATGCTTTAGAACTACGTAAACTTAATAATGTTAATCGGGTTTAAAATAACTTCTTCTTTACGATCCCAAAATATAATTTTAAAAATTGAAATAAAGCATCGAATTTTTAAATGTCTAAAACAGTGATTTATATACGCAGATTTTCTTTTTACTGCAATGTGGAAAAAAAGTGAAGCAAATGCACTTTGCGAAAGATGGGAGAGGAAGTAATTATTTTGAAGTAAAAGCATGATACAAGAGAAAAAGAGAAAGATAAAGAGAGAAAGCATATCCTGCATGGTAAAAGCATAAAGTAAAAAATGGAAGCAAAATAAAAGCATGAAGCATAAGAGAGCAATCTCGAATGAATAGTCTTTTGATTTTGTAATAAAACGACCATTTGTGTTGTATTTTAAAGCAAAACCCATTACGCTATCCTGATAGCATATCAATAGCTCTATAATAAAAGTTTTTTTTATCTTTATTGTATTTGCTGTAATCACAATTGTAAAAGCGGTCTCTTGCTTAAAGAATAAACGAGTTCTTTGATATTCTTTGTACAAATAAGCACTAGCTTCATTTTACGCTTACAATTTATTGTCGCCAAATTGAGAAGTGTATTTTAAACTATCATAATACTATGAAAAGTTAATATGGAAATTCTAATTTTCCCGAAGCATAATTCGCTTTTACGCTCATTAAGAATTCAGGTTTAATTACGAGGCGACTTTAAACCGCGTGTAAAAGCTTTAGCAGAAAGGAGAAAACGGTCTATTGATTACCATAAAAGCAAAGCTACTATCATCCGTATTTAGAGTGAACATGTAAGAGCATCAATTAAATAGACTTCTTCTATCTTAAGTAATGTTATTGAAAAAACAATTAATTATTGTTCTTAATGTTTATTAAACCATGTATTATCTTAAAATATCATTTACAACAAAAATAAAAAGTTAATTAACAATCAATAATAAATAAAAAATCAAAACTTCTAGTTTTTGTTTCAACTTAATACCTAATGTAGAAATATTGTTCATGCATGGAAATTGATATACTTTTGGCACTTTCTATTTCTTGCTGTTTTTCTTTCTTTCGTCAATGTTCTGAAATAGAATCGTCTTTTTCATCTCGCTATTTCTCACACCTTGCGATCAGAGACGCCACTTGCACTGCAGCAGCACGAAACCAATCAACTGTTTGCATCTGGTACCGACATACAATTTGCTGCATTTTGCACAGCGTCCTGTTCCCATAATAATGTAGTTCGTGTCTAAATTAATCGACTTTTCTTTCAATTTCTAATACTTTGTCACATTTTACGTTCCACTATCTCATAAATTAATTTCAGCGATGAAACTATATTATAAATATTGCCGTATTTTCATTGGTTCAACTTGTTTTGAAGATTTTAGAATATTGATACAGAAATGCAAAGGATTAAATGCATATTCTGTCGAAAATACGTCCAATAATATGTTCAATGATTTGTAGCAAGAGCTTTTTTAATTTAAAAATACCAACGTTTATTCAAGACTAAAATTAATTTAAATAGCACGGGGCAGACGTCATTAATTTTGCAGTTATATACGTAAATAAAGCTTCATGTGAAAGAAATTATTTTACATTTTCAATTTATCTTGCACGAAATCATTCATTTCTCGATATTACCATGATTTTAACACTCTATACAAAACGCACGTTCCGCATCAATAAACCGCTTTATGAGTTTTGAAATCTCGTCCCACGAAAATACGCATTGTGTATACAACGATGTAATTTGTTGGCTTTAATAACGTATATGTTTCTCTGGAATATATATTTCAGTCGCTATTGCATATAGTGTTATCATTATAGATATACATACCTCGTATTGCTGTATCATCATCGATCTGGAATTTGAGTAAATTGAATCGTCTGGAGAATTTTAGCGTATGCCACAAGTCATCATTAAGACCTTGCCCAGTTGTCAATAACTGAAATAAAAGAATATCTGTTAAATCTTAATTGCATCCTTTAATTAAAAGCTTTCTTCCTCTTTTTTTTTCTTTTTCTTTTTCGAACATAAGTACCTTATTGCACTATACCGATTTTATAAGAAAATTTTTAAAGTAATTGTAGATTTTTGTGAATAAAATTTAATAATTATAATATTGGTATAAAAAAAATTCTTCTCTTTTTTCATTTTGTTTTTTTTTATTTACTTTTTAAGAATTTACTGAAACAAAGTCGGTTGATACGCGTATGAGTAGCGAGGTTTCCAATTTTTATTGCATTTTTGCAGCGTCGTGTAGCAATAGGTTTAACGCTATCGATAAACCACCTCTATGAGATGCCCGTCATTTGGTCAAGTCTCATAAATCCAAGCAACTCGTCACTATCTAGCACAGTCCTCCATTGCAATATACGATATCACTCGTTGTGTGACACCTGACGCACGTTTGTCATCTAACGTCATCTATGCATTGCCGCTATTGCCGTTGAAAATTATTATTATCACAAGTACTAATTCATCATTCAATTCGTGTCAATCGCTAAAAATATATGATCTGTATTTAGTACGCACTAGAAGTTTAAAAATAGTTTACTATCAAATTTCCATTCAGAAGAAATTAATTTTAACTTTCATCGGAGTTTTTGTGAGTAAAACGAAATGTGCGTTACATGATAAATTGATCTGATAAACTGGATTGTATTTTTATGGAGTTATTCTTTTCTTCGAAACTTTTCTAGCTTTATTTAAAACAAAATCAAGCTCTGCATCAAGTGGAAAATTTAACTTTATGTGATGTAAAACATTGTAATATATGTGTGTTATATATTTATATAACTTTTAAAATTATATGAAATTACTGAGGAAAGATTTCATCAGAGTACATTTCATGTATATTTTTCAAATTTATGTACAATGTTATTAAAAACAACTATACCACTAAATAACTGCTTTAATAACTGGGACACAAACAATGCGCCTATAATTTTTTTTACTTCTTTTTCAACGCAGATTAAATAGGCACAGTTGAATAATGTAATTAAAATTGAAATAATAGAATGGAAAAATAGAATAGTTGAGTAAATGTAATAATTCTTTTTGTAATAAAAGTAACAGTATAATATCTCAATTAATGAAGTACTTACTTTATCATTATAATTTATACAATACTCTCGCCAATAAAAAGAGTTAATAATTTATCGAAAATCACAGATAATCTCGCGGTCGAGAAAAGCTCGCGGTTCGAAGCCACCGCGATAGAAATCTTCGTTGAAACGTTCTCCAACTTCCCAGGAACTTCGTGGAAATCTGGTTTTCCGTAGACTAATCGTCGAGCGTCGCATTATCGTATCAATTATTCCGTCCAATTAACGAGTCCGTGTAGGTACAGAGATTGAAACATTACCGTAAATTACTGTACGCCTTGTACGCTCGTGCTTATACGCGTGTACTTGTAGATCTGCACGTTGGCTCTTCATTCACGCGCGATACGAGAGTTCCAAATGACTTCGACCCAAGATTGTTAATCCCAGATTAACGCAACACCTATTTAATATCCACAATAATAATGCCATAGTTGGGTCACTGCTTCCCAACTAATTCTCCTCAACGCTTAGCTTAGACGATCCATAATTTCGAGACAGAATTCGGAATTATGTTCGGTATATAATTTTATCAAATTAGAAATTTAATTATCAGTGTAAAAACAATTTGTGTTATATTAATTGTATGTATATTTAAATTATAATTATGTATATAAACCTGCATCCAATTCTTTTTTTCCGTATCTTGTTATTGTTAAATAAATCAATGGTAAACATAACATGTAATATTTCAGAATATAATATTTGAGAATTATATGTATTCGTAAAGGCTAATGTAAGAGAACAAAAGAAAAAGAGACAAAAAAATAAATTGTACATTTATGCATCATCTAATAAAATAGCTACGAAATTGAATCGGCCGATTTACTGTTCGTTCGACCGAAAGCGTCGCGATTGCAGAATTGCTTATGTATTTCTACGTATATACGGATGGTACAAGGGAGGAATGGAGTGTTGGAGACTGCGTGAACGAGAGGTTGCAGGATGCATTCAGAAATGCATTTGGCTCCCGGGAAAACGATCGATGGAGCAGCACAGACGCTCCTCGCGACCTTGAGATAATACGCTTGCTAATTCTTAAAAATTTAACGAAAATTCATTAATTGTGTCTGAAATAAGATATTTTATAATAATAAAAAAGAGTTTTTTTGGAGTTGCTATGTACTCAACATGACAGTTATTAAAAATGCTTGAATATTTTACTTCATATAATTTTATTTTATTAAATTTTTGTGTCTTCTCAATCTTTCCTATCCTAGAATAGCATTATTTTCAAAAAATGTAAAAAGTTCCTAAATGTTAAGTAGGTAATATATTGTATTTAGTTATAAAATCTTTTCTATCACATTGCTAAAAGGGAGTTAATGTAGCAAAGCGTGAAAATCATTGCACGTCATCTTATACTTCGGGAGCAATTGCCGAGAGTACGTTTTATGCGTCCAACATTTCCGTCAAAAAGAATATTCCGTTACATGGAGATGAGAGCCGCCAGCCGTTTACTTGGCGGATGTTGCTGCGGGTGACGTATTAAGTTAACGTCATGACGTCGTTCGCAACGAGAGAACGATCTACGTCAACTATATCGGGACGACGCTCAGCATCGGAGATGCTTCGGGAATGTAAATCCTCATGGACCACGCGAGGCCCCTTAACTTCTGAGCGGATGCTCGTTGACGTTAAGTAGATCGAATTTGTCCGAGATAAATCCAATATCTTATCTTTTCAACAACGCGTCCGTATTTATAATAAGATTTGTTTAAATAACATTTATAATAAAACGTTTACAAAAAAAATCTGGCAATATATTCCGATCTAATATTATGTTAAATTAAAAGTCGGAGAAGTTTGTCGAAAAGACATGAAACAATAATTAATTCAAACAAAATCGTATTTAAAGTTTACGTATTTAATGATATTTAAAAGTCTATTGTATTTCACTTCCAAGGAAATATAAATATGTATAGAGATTCAGAACTATAAGTTTCCTTATTTCGCAAATAATATAGCTGAGCAATTTAATAATCTTACCTTTTCTCGGTCTCCGATATGAATCAGCATATGTGCCTTGCCCTCGTCTAAATAAATCTGCAAGCGATCAGCGCTGTTCTCAAAGCTAGTCGCTAATAGAAGGCCGCGCGGTCTCGTCGTTTTGAATCGCACGACAATTTCCTCCGCCTGTGTTCTGGAGTCCTCCGGCATTAATGCCGTCATTTGTTGCGTGCCATTCAGATGCAATGTTGACGCATCTGCAATAAGAAGCACAATAACTTGTTACTAAAAATTCATAAATTATAAATGTTCGCGAAACTCATTCAGCTTTAAGATACATAAATTGTCTTGAACTTGTCGGATTATTTAATGATTAAGTTTTAAGTCTAAATAATTTATTGTAGAAGCACACATATCAGAGGCTTGTCTTTTCGTTTTGAAATATCGAACCACTTTGAAAAAACCGTAATTAAATATAAGTATATTTTCACCTTTGCCACAGGTAGGTCCTGTGAAAGACGTGTTAGTGCAATCGCAGTGAAATCGATTCCACCCTTCAAGGCAAATGCTACGGTGCATACACGGATTCGAAGAACAATGCGAGGCTTGCATGTGACATGCGGGTCTTACTGCACCTGTAAAATACATGCACAATCGTGAAATATTATATTAAAGATTTAATCAACTTAATGCAAACAAGAGTATATCAATAATATTTATAATTTAATTTTTCATTTATTTTTTATTTAAAAGTTTCAACAATAGAAATTAGCAAAATTTTTATGCATTTTGTCAAAAGCGCATTTTTTTATTATTATAATAATTAAAAATATATATGATCGTATATTTGATCAGCAAATTGGAAAAAAATATAATAATTAAATATCACCCTTACCAGACGTATTGCACAACCTACTTTTTTCCAATAATAAAAAAATTGTATCTCCACTCGCCCTGTATAAATATTAGTAGTATCACACGCCGCAGGATGTTTTTAGTAACAAATAGTTAACAAACATGGTTATCTCGTATAGGACAGAATAATATTTGGTTTCAACAGTAACTATGGTTTAATTGTTACTTTAATTATGTTATTTCAGATCTGTCTTACATTCTGCTCAAATAAACGTGTTATATTGATTTAAAGACATTAAATTTGTAATTAAATATCGATAAATAATAAATAATAAAATCTAGAAAAATAATTTTATAACTGTTACGTAGATTCCGTACTACTTTTCGAAATTGATTACGAATCGTTATTCTTTTTTGGTTAAGATCTTTTGAGATGGTTTCCTTATCATCTTAGGAATAAATATTAAAATTCAATTCGCTTACCCGAATCTTGTTGCTGCGCATATCCCGCGATGTCTATTGGATTTCCATTAATGACGAGATCTCTCATACATCCCACGTAGCCTTGTCGAAGGGCGCCCGTCCACAAAACGGGTGGAACAGTTAAAGGCGCAAAAGGTGCGCCCACACCACCGATATATAACAAGCCATCCAAGTCTAATTGCGTGGAATCTCCTGCCATTAAATTAATTGCATTATTAATATATGTTGGAAAACTATATTACAGTTTTTATATATTACAATTGGAAATTTATCTAAATATCTAATATATGTACAAGTATATGTATTTATTTAAATATTTAAAATAGTACGTAAATTGTTGTGCATCATTCGATATGACGTAATCTTAAAAAAGTATAGAATAAATTATAATTAAGAAAAATTAATTTAAAAAATCAAAAATTTTTGAAGCTTTGTATGAAAAATTTTAATTATTTTCAATAATCATCGGAACAGAGCAAATAATGAATAAAAATTTATCGAAAATCTAACAATCTATGTAGCATGTCGTTCATATTTAGCGTGCACGATAAATCAATTAAGACTGGCATTTAATAAATTGTAAAAATGTATACACTGTGACACAAACATCGATGTTTAATTAATAATGATCTCGAACTTTTCTGGAGGGTAAAATAAATTAGGGTTTTCGATGTTTTCTGACATCATTGTCTAAAACTTATTTTCAATATATTTTGATATATTGAAACTTTTATACTTTAAGAAAAAATATACAATAATATAGATATAATATAGAAAGCAATAAATCTAAAATTTAATACTTCTGACATATCTACACCCCACATACCTTTTCTTATATTTGTTCCCCTTGTTCGCGAATGTAGATTTTGTTTTCCTTTATACCGCGGTTAAACAAATTATTTCGTATGAAATTTGAAAGCCAAAGATCTTTTTCTACGCTCAGCAGTGATCCGCGTTATTTGCTCGCGGTTTTACAAGGGCGCAAGGACGGAATTGCTTCAAGGTACGTTGGTATGATTCAAAGGAGAGTTTTGTTGGAGAATTAACCGTCCGTGTAATTCGGCTAACCGCGACAGGCTCTAGTCGTGGTAAGATGAAAACGGTGACAGTCTGACTAAAGTTGTAAATTTATCTCGCGAATGTTCGGTGAGAGAGAACAGAAAGAGAGAGAGAGAGAGAGAGAGAGAGAGAGACAAATATATGTATAAATAAATAGATAGAAAGAAACGGAGAAATTTATTACGTTTCAGAACAATTTCCTCAAACAACAAAATTCAATATAATCTACTATGTAATGAATAAAACGTGGCAAATAAACCAATTAATAAAGTAGGTTATCGGACATGTGTGTTTAATTAACATATATATTTTATATATCTAATAATTTCATATTCCTTTATTATTTAATATTAATAATTTAATATTCCTTTATGGCGTATTAATGCTGTTGCTAAAAAATAGCATAAAAATTTTCTAACTTGATATTTGATTCAAAAGATTATTTTAAATATAAAAATATATTATTGAATTTGATTTTTAACATGTAGTAGGTAATAGTAAATTATTCGTATTAGTCTGGATGAAAAAAATTGAGAGAAAAACATAAAAGGATAGAGTGTAGAGAAAAGTTGCTGATGAGCGGCAGAATTAACAGAAAAGCGGAAACAAACGGATAACTTAGTCCTTCGCTCGGCAAATTTCAGAAAAAAAAAAGGTAGGTATTACTGTCCTACACTGTTCTGTATGTAATGTAGTTAACAATTTATTATCTGTTAATTAATGACTCTAGACAGTCAGTCGGGTCAGGCAAAAATTGACGTTACCAGAAAGTTATTGTTAAAAATATTAAAATATGCGTGTATATGCATTTTATGGAACAGAAAAAATTTAATTATTCAATTCAGTCGGATAGATGTTTTATTGAAATATGTAATTGAAAAAGTGAACTATGTATCATCGTCGTATAATGCATGCTTTTTTTCTAAATACGATGTTATTTCAATTACGGGAATATGCGTATACATACACATACCATATTTGTTGCATTTGAAATATGCGTGGATATACAAGCTGATGTCCTGGATTTATCGGATATCTTTCTCGTTATATAGATTTTATGATTAAATTGAAATAAACGTTTTCTGTCTAAATACATATGTCATAACACTTATTGTTTTTGTGTAGTTAATAATTAAAAATAATGGTTCTTTCTAATACTCTATGGATTAAGATTTAGATATTTTATTTTATATAAAATATAGATTAATAAATTAAAGTGTATACTAAAAGTTTTTTTGTTTTATCATTTGTTAATTAATATTTTTATTTTTTAAGCAATCTTCCTATCTTGCTATTGATATCATATACTGGATTTTCAAGTTCATTAAATTTTTTTCTTTAAAAAAGTCAGTGACTGTAAGTACCTACTACACAGTAACATCTTCAGCAAGCTAAGTCACCGTTATCTGCGGGAGAATATATGAATCCTTGCTGTCTCAATGAAATTCTTTTTATCATTTTTGCGGTATCGTTTACGTGTTTGTGGCCGTACATACGTAGTGCTTTATCACTTAGTCGCGGTGCGGTGAGTAAATTCTGGACACACCGCGGTCCACCGACATAAACGGTGAGCTGAGCGAGCCGAGCCACTCATAATTCAGAGTTACACGCTCGAGGACACTTATCTGCCAGACCGGGTTAGACACTTTATGTATATGGTGAGATAGCTCTTTTTGAAAAACTGCTATTGCACGCATAAATACCCTGCGATAGGCATCGATAATTTATCGATAGTACAGTTTGCGTTTTAAGAGCGATATTAGTTCTTTTTCCGAAAATATAATTTTATAAGATAATTGGATATAAATAATTATTAATCCAAGATCATTTGATTTTTTCATGTATCATCTGAGATGTCTTCACAATCAAAATTATTATTAACACAATATATTGTATATTATTAATTATTTTCCGATTTAGTAATATTTGAGAACATTATGGATATGAATTTAATCACAATTTTCTGGAAAAAGAAAATATATATCTATACAAAATACGCAGCGATCATGGTGTAGACAGTTGCGTGGCTGCTCCAATTCAAATCTACCCAGCAGAATACAATCTACATTACGAAATAGTACTACTACTATTTTTTCATATCAATATTATCTTCTTATACAATTATAATTACCATACACGTTTTCTATTTAAAAAAATTTTTTCATATGTATTTTGACAAGATAAGGTCAGATAGAAAAGACTATATTCTTCATTACCTGGCGTACGAAACTCGACTATGTTGCTGTCGACAGTAACTCGAATTTCTCTCTCAACTCTTCTTAGGACAACGTCGTGCCAGGTGCCATCATCCACACGTGTCTTTGATGATTTTACTTTAACGGAGCCGCTCCCGAGATCGGCGTGCGTATAAAGATATCCGCCAAGAATCTCGAAAGCAAACAGATCTTCCTGTAATAAATGAAAACGATCCATTTATTACGATTTTGCCACTTCAACGTAAAGTAAACCATTTTCGTGTGCACACAAGTTTTCTACAAATACGTCAACGTATTTACTTTTACTATTTGATAGATTTTCAAGTGAAAATTTATTTAATTGATAAATGGTATTAACAATTTGACAAATTATATTTAGGTATATTTTGTATAAAAAAGAAGTAGAATAGAAGTGTTTTTTTTTTAATATTTAGTGAATTGTAGCCAAACATGAGATTTGTATTTTTCATCTATGTTTAAAATAAAGGACGCTTATTGTCGTAATTTATTGAGTTTCTGTTATTCTGGATAGATGGATGAAGATATATTACGTCGGCGTATCGTTGGTGTTAATGGGATTACGAGTAAATGAAGATGTATTGGCTTAAATTTACTAACCATCGAAAAAGACTTGTCAACTTTGGTAAATAACGTTTGATAAATATCATTAGAGCGG